ATTTGTTTTGTTTTGGTAGTTGAGTGGGTTTCGGTATTGTTTGCTTCATTGTGAAAGTTGCTATTCATATTTTGAGGGGAGAAATTTGGGTTGATTTCATGTTCTGAGGTTTGCTGTTTGTTTGTTGATGTTGGTGTTGTTTTGGTGCACTGGGAATTTTGGGAGTGGGTAGACATATCACCGCTTTTGATACATTTGTTGGGGTAACTTTCGTTGGCTAGGTGGAGTGACTGTGCACCCTCCAAGTTAGTGGTTGTAGGAGGTTCGAGAAGGTGATGGTTGTTTCTTTTGCTAGTCTTGTTGTTGTTGGTTTGTTTTACTTTGTATTGGTTCAGTTTAGTTGGATATAATTTAATTTTATTCTAGTTTCTTTCCTTATAGTGCTTATTATTTTGTTTACTTATAGAAATGCAGGGGTACAGGAGAGAGTTTTGTTCTCTGATTTTATTTTTAATTAAATATATAGTAAATAGTATTATATAATATATTAAAGGAATGCCTATTTCCACCATGGTAATTTGCTATTTCTACCATGATTTATACAAAGATTTACAAGATTTTTTATTTTTAATATTTATATAATAAAAATTAGATTTTTTAAAAATTAAAGAATTTTTTTTTTTTTTTTTTTTATTCTTTAACAGCCTTGTCAGTACTTAAATACAAATATTTACATGGTGAAATCTGTTCTAAAATAAAGCTTATTTCTAGTAAATGTCCTTTGCAATTGCAAGCCCAGCATCATCCGGCTACAGATGCTGCGCTCAGATGCGACTTGTCGCACTGACCTACACATGTGTCAGGTGACTTTGTCAGCTCTGTCAAGAACTGAACCAGAATGGTTTTACTCTATTCTGTATAACTTCTTGCATTCCTTCAACAAACAACTTAAAGACCTCCTCCTTTTTCTCTATTACCTTTTTATCTCTATTATCAACTACCTGAGTAGAGCCTGTTTGTTTTACCTTACTTCGCTTCCCCTTACTCATACTACTCGTAGCCCTTTTTACACCTGCCTTGGAGCTACTTTTTTCCTGGAAGGTTATACTATTATCGACTTCCCACTGAACTAATGCCTTACATCTTCTTATTCATATTTCATCATGGAATATTTTTTCCACTAGTTGCTAATATATTCTTGTGATCTGATTAATCACCTTTGTACTTGGAAGAACTTTGGCTAATGCTTCAGATACTTCATCAGGCACCAAACCCCGTATGTAGCTTTTGTATCATTTTAAGCATGCCTCTTTCGACTCTCCTTGGAGTATCCTCTTTAGCTCTGCACTTGATAACTTCAACTTGTTGTCGTGGCAAAGCTTCTGCCATGCTAGTTGGCTAGCAACTTCTTTGGTGTTTATCCAGTATCCATTGAGAAAACTGCACTCTACGATATGGCCTATTGTTTCTTCCTTTTCTTTGCACCCTATACATATATTCGTTGTATAGACTTCGGGTTTTCTTTTGTTCAACACTGTCAGGACCAGTAGCATCGTACTTATACACTTAAACTGAAAAGCGACTTGGCGGCTTGCTTCAAGAGTTTTGCACTTTAAACCTGTTAACTTTCTATTCTTTCTCCATACTGCTTTCCAATTTCTTTGTGTTTTTCCAGTTGGTTCATACTCTTTGACTGTGCTTGACAGTCACCATTTTGCCCCAATCATCATATTTGTTATAGCTTTTGTGAAAACTCTCGTTGGCACTTCCACTGGTATATCGTTCCAATACACCGTATAGCTAAATCGAATGTTATCTTCTAGTCTCAAATCTATACATTCAGAGAGCAACGCCCCTTCTTTTGCCAACTTGTCAGCTTTCTCATTCCATTCCACACTGCTATGTGCTTTGACCTTAATTAATTCTAGATCGATGTTCTTGGACCTACATATATTCCAGATTTTCGTCACTAGTCTAAAGTTCTTAACCTTACCCCAGGCTCTTATATCACTTAATGGCTTTCTAATTCTAAGGCTTGCAATTGCTGCAGCATTATCTAACTTAACTACCACACTACTATTACTAGCTACTGTTAATACTGCCATCAATACTGTAGCCAACTTTGCCTTAGTTGATGATGGCCACCTTTCTATTCTAAACATTCCCTCCACCAATACTAATTCCTCCTCTTTATTTACTAGCACCCAGCTTGCACCCATTCTACAATCCTCCTCTTCTCTTTTAATTAGTGAACCATCGGTATAAAAAGTATACTTTCTCTTATTGTCTCTGCAGTTCTTCTCCAATTGGTCGCACAACCTTGCTTCAAATTAGTCACTAAATCTCTGTTGCTTGATTAAGCTTGTTTCATATGAAAAAACTAAAATTGTCTTGTCTACTTCTACCTCATTTTCACCTTTTACTATGACCTTGCTTTTCTTGCTTTTGTATCCTTTTAGTTCTTTAAGCGCTAATAGGGCCGCTCTGTTTTGCTTCTGTCTAACTACTAGAAGGGTGCCTAGCACTTTACTAGTTTTGATCCACTTCTTGCAACCTGATACCCTGCTTGATTGGTTTAATTCACAACCACTATACTCTAGAAGTGTTGGATTAATGTTTTCTTTGTCTGTTTCTATGTTCCAATGGTTCACTAGAACACGCGTTTCTTGCTTGTTCACAACTTTGCCTATTAATATACTGCTGCTTGCCTTATTGAAAACTATTTACTCGCACTTTCTTCTATCTCTAGATAGTTTGTCTGGAACCATCTGCATTGCTATACTATTGCTTTCTGTATAAACTTGGTACTGGCTGCAAACTACTCTTTCTGGCAAGCTATCTAACACTGTCCTTTCGATCTCTCCAAACCATTTTGCCTTTTAGCCTTTTAGGCTCCTTGATCTGAGTTTGCAAAACTTTTCCATGATATCATTGACTTGCCTTTGGTATCGAATAACTGATTTAGGAAAAAAAGGTTGTATTTCAAAATGTCCCTACAACTTTGTTTGAATGTTCTTTTACTAAGTATCTCATGGATTATTGGCCCTGACCCCTGTATCTGCCACATTCTGTCCCTCAACCGAATTTCAATCTTCAACTCTTTTGCTTTTGTTAAAATTGAACATGCTAGGTTGTTTTTCCATATTCTTTTAAGGCTGCTTTTTAGAGACTCATGCCAGTACTCTTTTGTTAAACCTGCTATTGCATAGGCATGTTTAACTTTTATATTTGTTAATTTGCCCACCTGGCTTGTACTGTTTAATCTGTGCTGCAAACTTGTTAATTGCCGGCTAAAAATCTCTTGACTTAATATTCTACATCTTCCCAAACCTGTGTGTATTATCATACAGTTTGGAAGTGTTGATAGAAACCCTAGTTTGTTTTTGATTAATCTGATTAGTGGCTGATGCACCTCATCGAGACTAGTTTGGAGGACTTTAGTTGTCTGTAACATGTATGCTAATTTGGGTACTATGCACTTATTATTTATATAAATTAGCTGGCTGATTGTGAGCTTCTTAAACTGCAATATTCGTGTGAGCTGCTTTACAATAGCCTTAGCTTTCTTAATTACTAATGTATCTTTTAGCTCAGTCTCTAACCAGATTCCTAGCAAACTTGTTAGCGTTTTTCTCTTCTCTGTAGCTACTTGGACCCTATTTACTATAATGCTTCTGTCCTCTACTTTAAGACTTGAGTGCATCATGATAAGCTTGGTTTTTACCTCATTTATTTGGATATTGTTGAATGCAAAAAACTGCTGAGCAATATGTAATATACTGTTTATTTGCTCTTTGCTTTCTGCCATCCATGTTGTATCATTCGCAAATGCGACTGCTACTTGTCTAACTATGCTCTCTCTTACTCTGTTTGTCTGTATATCGAGCAGTTCACTTTGTTTAACTTTGTATTCTAACTTGGGATCATCCTGTATTCTTCTTAATAGAGGATTATAGAAGATTCTCCAGATTAAGGGCGAAATTGTTTCACCCTGTTCTATGCCATCCTCAGCTACAAATGGCTCTGTTATGCTGACACTTGTGATAACTCTCACTTCTCTTTTATCAAAAAGTTCTAAGATAAATTCCACTACTCCTTTTGGCAGCTTTATTCTTTGTAGCGCTAGTCATAGTGTTTTAGTTGAGACTGAATCGTATGCCTTTCTCATGTCTTGGAATACCAACCATAGCTCTTTATTGTTCTCTTTCGCATCCTCCCTTAGCATTTCCAGAATATGAATTGTCTCTTCTGTTAAACAACCAGGCAACTCTGTGTAATTCGGCCCTTTTAGTATTTCATGCTCAACAACTAACTCTGCTACCCTCTTGGTTAGAATCTTTGTTACGCACTTTCTAAAGGTCTCGAGAAGAGCGATTGGCCTCATGTTGCATAGTTGGTAACCCCAATCTTCGCTTTTTGGGATAGGGTAGATCTGTACTAATTTCCACTTTGTGGGGATCTTGCTAGTTTTTAGATATAAGTTTGCAAATTTTCTAAACAAATCATGGACTGAGGTACTTGCATTTTTGATTAGGCAGTAACCGATTCCCATAGCCCCAGGTGCTGTTTGGTTCTTTGTTCCATTTACTGCAGCTAACCACTCCTCGAAAGTAATTTCTTCATCTAAGCTCTTATACCACTCTTCTTTTACTTTTTTTATGGATATATAGAATTCATCTTTAATATTATTCTCTGTCCTGATCTTTCTCTCCTTGAACTGTCCTTCAAAATGCTTGCGAGTCTTATCTAGGACTATATCTGGCTTGGTATGGAGTATATGCTTCTTAGTATCTACCTCAAGTACTCTATCAATTCTAATTTTGTTGGTTGGCTTATCTAGTATACTTGCAGGCATTCTGCTTACATCACCATCTATTCTTTCACATTAAGTGCTTATCGCTTTACTTATTACCTCTCTCATCTGCTTATCATCTTTAAGCTTTTCTTGCAATCTCATAGCTTTCAAACCATGCTTTGCTACTTGTACCCATTCAGTTAATTCGGCCTTGTCAACATGCCTAATCTGCTCTATATTGGTACCTTGTTCTGCATTTATTTTGTCTATTGCTTTATTTGTGTCATCTACCCTAACCAGAACTGTTCTCATATCTAGTGCCCTCTTGACTGACCATATTATTTTGCTAAGTGCCACAATAGATTTGTGTAAAGCTGAGGTCTTGCGCTTGCGTTTCATATAGAAGGTATTATTTGTCACTTTCTTTCTTGGTATGTTTTTGTTTGCTGTGTATCGAATTGCTTCTGATATAATATCCCATATTCTATCTATATTAGTGTCAAAACCTGTTTGTCGTAGCTTATCTAGCTTATGGTTTTCCTTTAAGAACTTGTCTAGATCTTTACGGTAATCTCGCCAATTTTCATCAGATGCTTTGTCATACTGA